ATTCCGCTGTTTGGTGGGCTTAAGTGGATCATGGACCGGTTAGGATTCAATTTTTTTTTTTCGGATAACAGTCTAGTATACGTTGGCTTTCTAGACATGAGTTTCGAAGATTGATGTGGAAACCAACTATCATCTTCTCTTCTCTCGTGTCGTCTCCCTCAGCAAGTCCTGCTGAAAAAATAGAATTTTTTAAAATATAAAATTTTCCAGTCTAGTCCCAAAAAGGATGACATCAAACAATAGATAGGATTAAAAGTTTGGTCTAGTCTCAACCAGTCCAGTTCATAATAAAAGCCCAATCCAGTCTGATTCTATCTGGCCCACCAAACGAGGCCTTAGTCTCTTTCTCTCTATCTCTATCTCAATAACAACCCCTACCCTCACCATTCCCAAGCCATTTTCCTCATCCCCAGCCACTCCCCAAATATTCTGCCTGATCTCCACCCCATATTTGCCTAACAGGTCGTTGCCCCACTCCCCCTTCTCCATCTCTCCCCTTCCCTCGTACCCCTCTACTTATCACCCCCCCTTCCCACTTCTCCACCTCCCATCCCCGACAACCCAAATCCTTTTTTTTCAAGTTTTTTCTTCTAATGTTATATTTTACTTTTGGGAAATTTGCATAAATACCACCTGAACTTTTAAGCATGTGCGTCATTACCACCTGAACTTTTAATTTTTATTTTTAACCACCTGAACTTTGTAAAGTGTTGCAATCCACCACGAGCGAATTGACGTTGGAAAAGTTGGAAAAGTAGGAGTAGGGTTAGGGTGAAGGCGCTGTAATTAGGTTAACTTTTTTTTAAAATCTGTTTTTTAATATAATTATTCTTTGTTATAGTTAATTGACAAAAATACCCTTAAACTTAACGGAAATTTTAACGGAGTTAGACGTAAGTGGTGGATTGCAACACTTTACAAAGTTTAGGTGGTTAAAAATAAAAATTAAAAGTTCAGGTGGTAATGACGCACATACCTGAAAGTTCAGGTGGTATTTATGCAAATTTCCCTTTACTTTTTAATGAAATTTAATATTCTTAGATTAATTCAATTTTTTTTTATTAATTTCAAAAAAGTTTTCTGGGTTTTTAAAATACACAAAAAAAAAAGTTTATCATGTTTATTTAACAGCAAATTTAACAGAATGGACAACATTGGCTAATGGTCCTAAACACATGGACGAAATTGGCCAAATTCAAAACACAAGGATTAAATTGGCCAACGTGGTAAAACACAGGGGCCATTTTGATATTTAATCCTTTTTTTCTAACTAAATAATTGGATTTTTTTTTTCCAATTGTGGGTTCAAGTATTTACTTTCATTCAAGTCACAAACATTTTGGATTAGGTCACAACTTCATTTTGATTTTTACATTGTTGCATTTAGTATTTAATCTCAATTTTCACAATTTTTTAATTTAAAATAATAATAATATTAGTGCGAGAGTGTAAAAGAAATTTACTTATTAATTTTGTCCCTCTTACTATTGTTAATGTTAGTGAGAAACACTTGTGTGAAGGGGATTCAAATTTGGATAAAAAGGGGTAGACTCATTGTTCTGACCAACTTATCTAATTCACGTCTAAACTATGCCTTTTTATATTAATTAAGCCTAATAGTAAATTCAAAACTTAAGGGTAATTTAGTAATTAAACTCCACTTCTAGTCACCCATATTTCTCTCTCCACACCCTACAATTTCTCTTCCGATTACAATATGTGTGGACGCTTAGGCCCCGTTTGGAATTGCTTTTTTTGGCCAAAAACCTGCTTCACTTTAATGTTAAGTAGTTTAAGGTGTTTGGTAAAAATAAAATATCTCGATTATTTTAAAAGCAATGGTTTTTTCATAATAACTTTTAAAAGCAGGCTCTGAATTGCTTTTCAAAGCTACTTTCAAAAGAAGCAGAGATAAATCTTTAATAAATTTTTTAAATTCCCAAAATACCATCATTCATTTTTAAAAATGACACCACCTCCACATCCACATCCACAACCGTCATCCCCACCACCACCTCCTCCTCAACCTCCACCACCTCCACCACCACCACCATAACCACCACCTCCACCACCACCACCATAACCACCACCTCCACCACCACATCTTTCACCACCATCTTCACCTCCATTTCTTTTACCACCTCCACTACCACCACATAATTAGCGCATAACACTTTCAACATCATATCTATTTTAGTCATTATTCACAGTTACAACAGTTTTATATTAAAATTTACCGAGTGGTTTTGACACTTCTTTTTGTACTAACAATACTTTAAAAGAATTATTTACCAAACATGGAGCTGCTTTACTTTACAGCTAATTATTTTCAAAGCACAGCAGAAACAACTTTTTTTAAAAGTGACAGCAATCCCAAACTAGCCCTTAATCCAGACTTTCCATAAAATCTTTTCTTTTCCTCCATTTTTTATCACCTAAACAAGAAAGAAATCCAAATATAAGCACGAAGAAGATTAGTTCAACCAAGCCACAAATCTAGCTTTGAGATTTAATCCAAGTCAACGAGTAGGCCAATGAAGAATACATGAAATCTTTTCTACTAAGACAAAATTATGGCGAAGAAAGATTCGACGGTGGAAATTGGTAGTCACCAACAACATCATGGCGAGTGTTGAGGGAGAGAGGGACAAAAACGAAGAGATTGGTAGATTAGGCAAAGAGGGAGAAAATGTATTTAAAAGATGTCGAAGTTACACAACATCCTACTTTTATTTGTTATTTCTGAAATTACATGTAGGATGACTAAGGTCCAGTTTGGGATTCCTGTCACTTTTAAAAAAAGTTGCTCCATGCTTGGTAAACAATATTTTTAAAGTGCTGTTAGTACAAAAAGAACTATCAAAACCGTTTGGTAAATTTTAATATAAAATTGTTGTAACTGTGAATAATGACTAAAATAGACAGGATGTTAAAAGTGTTATGTACTAATCATGTGGTGGTAGTGGTAGTGATGGAGTGGAGGTGGTGGTGGTGATGAAGGTGGAGTTGGTTGTTGTGGTAGTGGTAGTGGTGGTGGTTGGGATGGCGGTTGTGGAGGTGGTGGTGGATGTGGAGGTTTTGGAGGAGGTGGTGGTTGTGGTGGTGGTGGTGGTGGTGGAGGTGGAGGATGTGGTGGTGGTGGTGGTGGCGGTGGCGGTGGCGATGGCGGTGGCGGTGGTTGTGGATGACAGGACCCGACCCGAATTCCACTTTGGAATCCGAGTTGAACATTTCACAAAAATTTCCACCTGTAAAACAATTATATGTATATACATATATATCTAACTCAACTGCCAACATGTAATAGATTATATCCAAGAAAATCAAGCATCAAATCACTATGGCATTAGGCCTCAATAGTTCAAATAAAATATTCTGCCAACCAAATCTAATTCAAATTCTTAGAACATCCTCAGAACAATATTAGATTTCAGAATAACTTAGCTGGACTACCTTTCAACATTTGACCTCACGGCTGCACCTATTAACTCTAGGCTGCCTACATACCCTTAACAAGGGATCAAGCCACACATAGTTCTTCCATTTAATAATGTAATTGAATATATTATTCATTCATCATATTGCCATGTGTTTTGCAAATCAAACTGAATTCTCATGTGCCTGATGTACTCAGTCATATTCATAATTCTAAAACAATACTTTGCAACTTCCTAATGCACGTAACAGTCATATACTGATTATAAATAAGCCATATACTGATCTCCCTCTATTTTAGTTTAAGAACATCTCAAAACCGAGATTCTCTCCACCTAGGCGTGTCTATCATCATCTATCATTTCCTCATGTCTCGGTTCGTGACACGCCCTCGCAGGTCTTGGTAACACAAGGTCGCTGAGCCGCAACCCTCGCAGGATTCAGGGAATGTTTAGTCGACCTGATCCGCATTCCTCGAAGTAGTTCATATTCAAACATATATAAGTCACTTATTGAATTTCCTCTAGTTCATACACCAATATATATAATTTATACGTTATTGGCTTAAATTATATATACATAATAAATAAAGATGAAGATAAAGATAAATTAAGGTAAAAATAAAATCAACAAGCTCCGAAGACCCTTTTATCCTTGCTTCGAAACTTACTTAAGGTATATATATTCTCATCTTCATTTGTAAAACAATTTATCAATTACGAAAATAATGGTACTGTATAAAATCCCCCATTTTAGTTTAAAAGCATCTCAAAACTTAAATTCTCTCCACCTAGGAGTATCCCCATTCCTGATCCATCAATTCCATCCTCGCAAGCCTCGGAGACACCAAGCCCACTCGAGCCGCAATCCTCGCAGGCCTCGGAGATACCACTTCTATCCAAGCCACAATCCTCACAGGCCTCGGAGATACCACTTCGATCCAAGCCGTAATCCTCGCAGGCCTCGGGGATACCACTTCGATCCAAGCCGCAATCCTCGCACCACACGGTTCAGGAGTTCCTAAAACACGTGGGGCATCATTTATAGATGACACTGTTTCAAGCAACTAGGGGTTACCCTTGTGGTGGGTTTGAAAAACCATATCCGAAGCTTATCCCAAATTTTCTCTTAATCTCACAAATCCCTT